ACTCCTCTCCACATGCTCTCCTCCTCTCTTCACACTTTCTGTGCGCTGGATTCGCTAGTTGACAACAGGAGGCGGAGAAAAGGGTGATGCTTTTTTTTTTTTGATGGCACAAATTATTATTCAGGGGTGACTGCGCCAGCGAGGCATCTCAGATCAGTATTATTGACCTCTTCTTTCTGCCAGTCTCTCACACGTCTCTCCTGAAGCCCTTCCTGGCACATCAGGAGGCTAATTAACACCCGCCTATGACTAATTTGATTAAAATGAGCCTTCCTTAGTGCGTATTACGAGAAATTGAAACCAATTTATAAAGGGCGCTGCGTAACATACTGTATGCTACGCTAATTACAACCAGTAAATGTATGAGGTCTGCAGGGAGATTATGATCCTGCGAGGCCCCGGGGCCCCTGTCTGTTCAGAGGGATGACAATTCAGAGATTTTAATGGGAAATGATGTGACAAATATGAGAAATATGGGTGCATTAGGAGGATAAACAAACCATGCAAGAACAAATTTAATCAATATGATGCACATAGGTGGTTCATTATTTATTAATATTCATGCATTCATTTTTTTTTGTCTTAGTCTCTTCAGGGGTCGCCACAGTGGAATGAACCGACTACTTATTCATTTGAATTAAATAAATCTAAAATGAGAACAGGTTGGCGGCACCGGTGCTTAGTGGTTAGCACTGTCACCTCACAGCAAGAAGGTCACTGGTTCAAGTCTCCACTGGGCCAGTTGGCATTTCTTTGTGGAGTTTGCATTTTCTCCTCGTGTTGGCGTGGTATTCCTCAGGATGCACCGGTTTCCCTCACAGTCCAAAGGCATGCGCTATAGGTAAATTGGCCGTAGTGTATGAGTGTGTGTGAATGAGAGTGTATGGGTGTTTCCCAGTACTGGGTTGCAGCATAATAATAACTTGAAGGATGTTTTAAAAAAAGAAAAAAAATAACTAAAATGAAATTATGAAAAATAAAGTAATGGGAATTGATTTGCTCACGCTGAAATTCTTTTTATTAAAATTTTAGTGAGGTTTCTGACATATTTGTTTTTATTCTTCAAATAAAATAATTAAATTAAAAGTGGCATTCAAGTTGTAGTAAGAGCTACATTTTTAGATCAAAATTTTAAGTTGATCAACAACATTTAAAAAAATATTTTTCAGTAAACAAACCATCATAAAAACTTGATAATACTATTAATCAGACCTGCCAACGCTTCTGTTTTTCCCGGGAGTCTCCCGTATTTAATACCCATCTCCCACCCTTCTACCGTATTGTTCTGTCTCTCTGAAAACTCCTGGAATCTTTCCGTGTGCACTGCTTTGTAAGTTCAGTATGTTCACTATGTTACAGTACACAACTGCCCCATAACTGGTCAATGTCTTTTGTGTTAGAGAAATGATAGTGATAGTGTGTAACGTTGCAGCATTGCACTTGGTAACGTTCATTCATTCGCAAATTCTCACCCCGTCAATACCTGGACGGGAGACCACATTGGAAACCTAGGTTGATGATGGAAGTGATATTAGTGAGGCCAGCAGGGGGCGCTCAACCTGTGGTTTGTGTGAATCCTAACACCCCAGTATACTGCTCAGTAAGCGCCATATTTCTGATGAGAGGTTAAACAATGCCCACTGGCCTCTGTCCATCATGGCCTCCTAACCATCCCCATATTATAATTGGCTTCATAACTCTGTCTCCACTCCACCAATCAGCTGGTGTGTGATTGTGGGGTCTGGCGCAATATGGCTGCTATCGTGTTATCCATGCAAAGCACTTTGAGTGTCCAGAAAAGCGCTATATAAATGTAAGGAATTCTTCTTCTTCTTCTTTTTCTCCTTCTTCTTCTTATTATTTTGCTGTGGCGACTTCTGAATTTAAGGTATTTTAAGACTTTTTAAGACCCCACATGCACCTTGTAATATCAATAATTTATAATAAATTTTTGTTATTGTTAGTGAGGTAGTAGTTGGGTTTAGGCATTGGGTAGAATTATGTGTATAAAATAAGACAATACTTTATAAGTGCTAATAAATAGGTAATGATACACTCAAAAAATGACTTTTGCTGCTTGTTCAAAGAACTTATTTTAAATTAATTGAAACAACACGACCTATTTCAGGGAATTTCAGTGACTTTTTAAAGGTTAAATTATTTTTTTTAATATAAAATAGTTTAAGACCCCACAGAAAGCATACAACATCAATTATTAATATAGCTGCAAGCAGCAGTTATGGGGCCAAGCACCTAACCTAACATAGCCTAATAGCAAAGCAGTCCAGAGGAAGAATGAGCACTTTTGAACACATCTGTTGGTGCCGTAAACAAGAACAGTTTCACCTATTGAACACTTGGTCAATATGGACTAACAATGATCCGAGTCAAATTTGGTGATATACTGGCAAACAGTCTAGGAGGAGTTTGCAAAAAAATGTTTGAACAAAATCAATATGTCGGACAGGACGTATATAGCCAAATATGGCATATTTAGTATCAATGTCCTCAGCATGACCCAAGGAAAACGTTAAAAATAAGTTTTACCCCAATAAACATATACAGTCTATAATAATAATAATAATAATTCGTTACATTTATATAGCGCTTTTCTGGGCACTCAAAGCGCTTTACACAATGGGGGGGAATCTCCTCATCCACCACCAGTGTGCAGCATCGACCTGGATGACGCGACCGCAGCCATTTTGCGCCAGACCGCACACCACACACCAGCTGATTGGTGGAGAGGAGACAGAGTGATGATATGCCAATCATGATATGGGGAGGGTTAGGAGGCCATGATGGACAGAGGCCAGTGTGCAGATTTGGCCAGGATGCTGGGGTTAAACCCCTACTCTTTTTCGAAGGACATCCTGGGATTTTTAACGACCACAGAGAGTCGGGACCTCGGTTTAACGTCTCATCCGAAAGACGGCGCTCACTGAGCAGTATAGAGTCCCCGTCACTATACTGGGGCATTAGGACCCACACAGACCGCAGGTTGGGCGCCCCCTGCTGGCCTCACTAACACCACTTCCGGCAGCAACCCAGCTTTCCCAAGTGGTCTCCCATCCAGGTACTGACCGGGCGCAGCCCTGCTTAGCTTCAGTGGGCGACCATGTGAGAGTTGCAGAGAGCTAGCTGCCGGTCTAAAATTAATAGCACATTTTTAATTCATTATTGACAATTAGTAAACTGTTTATAACTCGTGACCACTAGGTGGCGCTGTTACCAAATTCATGTGCTGGGGTTATTGTGAGTTGCTAATGACAGACCTAAATATCAATGTTAGTATGTTAAAGCCTTTCAAAGTCTCAGCCTCAGATGCCCTTTGACATCGTGCTAGCACATTTGTTGATGCCGTAAACGACAACCGTTTTGCTGATCGATATAATTTCCATAACACTTGGTCAGCATGGTCTAAAGATGATCAGAGTCAAACTTGCTAACAATTGAATCAACAGTCGAGGAAGAGTTCGCAAAAGAAGGTTTTTGAACAAAATCAATATGGCGAACAGGAAGTTTGCCAAAACATGGCACAGTGTTTGGTATCAACGTTCACAGGATGACCCAAATAATAATTTGATATCAAATTTACCAAAATAAATCTATTTTTAAAGATTCGTTATTGATGGTTATTATTATTATTTGTTATGCCAGCGACTGACCTGCGACCAGGGAGTTCTGAGCGGCCGACTGCTCCAGAAGCACCATATGCTGGAGGAGAGTGTTGTGAGCCGAGCCGCTTTCCCGCTCCAAGCTGGAGGCGGCCAGGTATGACGGCAGGTGGGCTCCTGGCATGAACGGAGTGGTTATGGGGATTCCTGGCTGTAAGCCTGGCACTGCCATCCTGTCACCATCCTGCTGGCCCGATGCCACCTGTGTGTGTGTGTGAACAGAAAGAATGAGACTGTAAGCTGAAAGAATCCTGCAGCGGGAATCACAGGCTAATCTTTATTTTGTCCAAGAAAATGATGCACCAGCAATTCTGTGACAATAAAAACACGTTTCAAAATTACATAAACGTGAACAGAATGCAAAACATGAATCCAAGGCAAATCACAATATCTATAAATAAAGATAACAAATGTGCACATTTATTTTCTATAAAATAGCAACAATGTACAGCAAGTGCAGAAGTGTATGCCTAAAATATTTGCTATGGTCGGTTATGAGATATTGTGAAATCATAAAAATAAAAAATTTAACAAAAAAAATTCATAGTAAACTGCTAATGCTAAAACTTTTAACCTAAAAATGCATTCTAATTTAATATTTTTTTATACATAAGTTAATACATTACACTCATCATATGCTACAGCACACAAAAACAAAAAAAAACATTATTTTGGTCACATTTTAATAATAATAATTCCCTACATTTAAATAGCGCTTTTCTGGGTCCTCAAAGCGCTTTACACAATGGGGGGGGGGATCTCCTCATCCACCACCAGTGTGCAGCATCCACCTGTATGACGCAACAGCAGCCATTTTACGCCAGACCGGACACCACACACCAGCTGATCGATGGAGAGGAGACAGAGATGAAGCCAATTGAAATATGCGGATGGTTAGGAGGCCATGACGAACAGAGGCCAGTGGGCAGATTTGGCCAGGATGCCGGGGTTAAACCCTTACTCTTTTTCGAAGGACATCCTGGGATTTTTTAACGACCACAGAGAGTCGGGACCTCGGTTTAACATCTCATCCGAATGACGGCGCTCACTGAGCAGTATAGCGTCCCCGTCACTATACTGGGGCATTAGGACCCACACAGACCGCAGGTTGGGCACCCCCTGCTGGCCTCACAGTATATATTTTAATACACTTCATGCTATTAACGAACCAATAAAGGTGCAGTAGGTGATCTGCCTAAATGCTATCCGTTAACATAATATCTTTGAAGCACAGTCCCGCTCCCCTGCCATCCAAAGCCACGCCTCCTAAAGTCACAAACGTGACCCACTAGATCATGTCATTTGCCAGTTAGAAAACTTTATAGTACAGTAACTTTATAATACAACAATTCTGAACGAAAAACTGTATTATATTCAGCATATTTTCAGTTGTGTAGCAGCAAAACTTGTCAAAAGCGCTCGCAGTTGAAAAAAGTCAACTCTGAGCGGAAAAAGCGTCAGTCGTTTCTTTTTCATTCTCCAATCAAATTAAAGCAGAGGCGGAGTTTCTATTGAGGTCACAGCAGTGTTTGTGTTGTCAAAATGACTAAGGGGCTTTTAAAGATGGAGGAGACACTAGCGATTGCTCTTTTGAGTAATCTGGAGCTGTATAACTATGCAAATCTTAAATATCATATTATTATTAAATATTAACTTTATAGCAATATCAACAGCAACAATCACACACAATACACAGCTAATTCAGTCATTAGCCACTTTCACACATACAGACCTTTCCGGTAAATTACCGGCAATTTTCTGGAAAGGTGTGTGTGTGTGTGAACAGGTCCTTTATGAAAATACCGGTAAATTCGTTCTGGCTATTTTCCTGAGAGAGTAGTTGTAACATTACCGGTAATTTGCCGGAATGCTGCGCTGTGTGAACGCAGAAGGAAGATTGCCGGAAAGAGCGCGTGCACGTCTAGAACGTGCTGATGTGAGACGTCTGCTTTAGCCAATCAGACCAGTCAGAGGCATTCACGCCATTGCATTTTATGAGAATAAAAGCCTTTAAATATTTTCCCAGACACATTTAGCTGCTAGAAATTAGTCAGATCACGTTTATATGTTCATCTTAATGCCAACTGTGTAAATAATTATCGCTAAGATGATAAGCCGTTGTTTACCTTCAAGTTTTGCGTGTGCCTGTGAAACAGCCCGTGAGCGCCAGCACACACACATATCATGTACATCTTGACATGTGAAAGTGTTCCTCCATATGTTTTCATCGAAGTTGTTCACAATATTGATCATCCACAGGGTTTGTAATGTAGTCAAATGTTTACAAATACAAGCGCAGCCATTTAGAGCTCATTTCTGGTTAATGATGTCAGAATTTACCGCTATTTTGGAATGGATGTGGGAATGCTCTTTTCTGGAAAAATTCTGTAACGTCTTCGCCTCTGTGAACAGCACTTTTTTAAATCTACCGGTAAAGTCATTCCGTAAATTTTCCATATATTTACCAGTATCACTGTGTGAAAGGAGCACCTTATAGCACATAAAAGGCACACCACGCTTTTCTTTTTTTGTCAACAAAAAAGGCAGTGTGGTGCGCCTTGTGTTTTGGAATGTAAAAGCGTGTTCAGTGTGATTAGCCCCTAAGACTTTTAGCTTTGTTAACTGTTCATTTGCTGCATATTAATAGTTAAGGTAGTAGTTTAGTTTTTGTATTGCATTGGATTAAGGATGTAGAATAAGATAATACTTCATAAGTGCTAATAAATAGGTAAAATCTTAAAAAAAAAAAAAAAAACTTTTACTGTTTATTTAAATACTTCTTTAAAATGAATTAAAATAGCATGATTCATAATTTTTGGGACAACCTAATTATTTTAGACAAGATAATGGAATTGTTTGGAACCCTGCATTTTTTTACAGTGTACACTTGTCCCAAACCAAATCAACAAAACTAACTTAATCATTTTTATAAATTTAAGTGGATGTAACATAAAACAATTAAATTGATCCAAACAACTCGGCTCATTTTAAACAAGTAGTTAAAATAAAAAAATAAAAACCAGAAAAATTAACCACCAGAGTAAATGGTGTGAATTGTAACTTGAACTGAAGTGTTCCTCATTTTTTTAATCCCTCCCCTTTCATTCATCATTCTTTCTGCCTGCGTCAATGAGCTCTGGTCAGCCATTGTTTCTCAAAAGACTCTTTCTAAAACGGCACTGGTGCTGAAAAGCCATATGTGGCACCCTGACGGTCCAGAGAGAAAAACAGAGAGAGAGAGAGAAAGAGAGAGAGAGAGAGAGAGAGAGAGAGAGAGAGAGAGAGAGAGAGAGAGAGAGAGAGAGAGAGAGAGAGAGAAGGAAGGAAGGATAGACTCACGCTGGAGGGGCCGGTGGCTGGCAGACCCAGGGTGATGTTTGGAAGGGAGGGCGATGTGTACAGAGACAGCTGGCTAACAGGACCCTCTCTGCCCGTGAGTCTGTGTGCCAACGATGGCTGGAACGACACACACACATACACACAAACATATGCACAGATAAATAAACCCCAGCGATAAAAACAAACAGCTCTGTCTGGTTGCTGTCCGGACCCCTGTGGGACACGTCTACAGAAGCAGACTGTCCACGTCTGAAAAACATGCATGGAATTGGCCAGGAAAAAAAAAAAACATTGAACTTTTTTTCCAAAAGCAACATGACAAGTGCAACCTCCAAGAAAACTGACAAAATGTGTCCTGAAGATGAAGATATTTAGAGGTTAATTTAGAAACACAGGAGAGCCATTAAAGTGGATGTTTTCAGGTATTTTACTACTGCTAAATGGCTTTCTTTGGTATGCTTAATTCAATTCATGTTGATTTCTGTAGTGCTTTTTACAATGCACTAAATTATTTGACTATAAACTATATACTATATGACTTTTACAGTCAAAAGCAGCTTAATATGAAGTTCTAGTAAATTAAAACTGCTTCAGTTCAATCTGTTGTTTAGTTTAGTTCACTGAAAATGTCACTGCTGAAAGCAAAACACTAAAGAGCAAATCCACAGACATATAAGAAATAATAATAATAGGAACAATAATAATAATAATAATAATAATAATAGTAATAATAACAATAATAATAATTTTAATAATAATAATAACAATGATACTACTACTACTAAAAATAATAACAATATTTGTATTATTTTTATTATTATTATTATTATTATTATTATTATTATTATTATTATTATTATTATTATTATTATTATTATTATTATATTAGGACCAGTGTTGGAGGTAACGTATAATGAAAAAACTCGAGTTACGTAATAATAATAATTTTTATTAAGTAATGAGTAAAGTTATGCAATACTTAAAAAAAATAATAAATTGGTAATAATATTTGAGTTATTTTTTGAAAATGTAACACCAGTTACTTTTTTGTTTAATTAAGTAGCTTTAAAAAAATTAATTGCTCGATTAAAACTAAAGTTTTCCCAGAGATGGGTTATGGCTGGAAGGGCAACCGCTGCGTAAAAACTTGCTGGATAAGTTGGCGGTTCATTCCGCTGTGGCGACCTTAGAATAATAAAGGGACTAAGCCGACAAGACAATGAATGAATGAATGAATGATAATAAACAAACAAATAAATAATAAATAAATAAGCATAAAACAAACAAACAAATACATAAATAAATGAATGAATAAATAAATAAATAAATAAATAAATAAATAAATAAATAAATAAATAAATAAATAAATAAATAAATAAATAAATAAATGGAGGCCCAGTAATTAGCAAAATCTGGAATATGATTCTAATCGTTTAATTCATCTCACAATGCATGATCCTAAAATCGCCTTTCCACGGCACACAACATTCTGACATGACTGTTAAAATACACCCCCTTGAAACAGTTGCACAGGATTTTCAGTTTTGTCGTGCACCATGGGAGAGAAGCTGATTCTGGCAAAAGCTTTATTCTCTGTACATTCACCGTAGTTGAATAAATGAACACTAGAAATTCACAGGCCGCTAAACATTTTGGAGGGAATGTGGAGACAACTTTAAGTATATACAGTTGAAGTCAGAATTATTAGCCCCCCTTTTATTTAATTTATTTTATATATATTTCCCAAATGATGTTTAACAGAGCAAGGAAATTTTCACAGTATGTCTGATAATATTTTTTCTTCTGAAAAAAAGTCTTATTTTTTATTTCGGCTAGAATAAAAGCAGTTTAATTTTTTTTAAACCCTTTTAAGGTCACAATTATTAGCCCCTTTAAGCTATATATTTTTTTTGTTAGTCTAGAGAACAAACCATCATTATATAATAACTTGCCTAAGTACCCTAACCTGCCTAGTTAACCTAATTAACCTAGTTAAGCCTTTAAATGTCACTTTAAGCTGTATAGAAGTGTCTTGAAAAATATCTAGTCAAATATTATTTACTGTCAACATGGCAAAGATAAAATTAATCAGTTATTAGAAATGAGTTATTAAAACTATTGTTTAGAAATGTGTGGATAAAATCTTCTCTTCGTTAAACTACTTTTTTATTACTACTATTTTTTATTACTCATTTATGAATAAAAAATGTTTTAATATAGACTGTTTTATAACAAAAAAAAAAACTAACAATAATTCTTATCTTACGCACATGGACCTGATTGGGCAACACTGGAATACATCACATCCAGTCAACCAATGGCATACAGTCGAGTCTCAGAAGTTCAAATATTTTAACGGATCTGCAGCTCAAATTGGATCTGAATTTTACGCATACAGAGATGATCGGAATTCCACGCAGCTCCCAGACTACTCTCCATTGGAAATGAATGACTTGTCGTGTGCAGTGGAAAGGCAGCTTAACCAACAGTGATCATCAATTCATTAACAATAAATCCTGCAGAGCTCAGTACCTCCACTGCGCTGTTGGAGATTGATCCAGCGATGCCGTTCTCATTGGTAATGTTGTTTGAGCTGTTGTTGGGTGAACTCGGGCCAGAGCCAGGAGCACTGCTGCATGCCGACTCTGGGAGAAAATTGTCTAGATTAATGGAGTGCCAGTCAAGAAGGAACAGATGCTGGAGTCTCGCTCTAACACTCAAGTTAGGGCTGAACAATACTGGAAAAATCTGAGGTTGCCATATTTTATTTCTTCTGTAATACATTTTGCCATATGAATACACTTTCACAAGATTGTTTGAATAGTCTAATGGCATTCAGTATTTATTGCTTTGTCTAAAAACATCTACAAATTATTGGATCAAGTATTGTTTTAGAGTTTTTCCTTAAAACAAGCTAAATTATCTGCTAGTGGGGAAAGTTAAATCTTCTATTTTTTGCTTTGAAATGAATAAACTGTGACTGATGGGAGTCGTATCCACTCACCTGCCATGTCCAGAGAGCGTTTCTTTGCAGTGGTGATGGGTCCGTCCTTCCTCCTTAGCAGAGGGCTGCTCCTGCGCTCGCTGACCTTCTGCTTCAGCCTGGACCGCAGCTTTAGATTGGGCTCAGATGCTGATGGTAGAAAAAAGAAGAAGAAAAGGAGAGTTGTTAAATGAAGGATGATTAATTTTGTGACAGTGTTTAAGTAGAAAGGTGGGTGTGCATCAAAATAGGGGACATTTATATTAAGACTAGGTCCAAAATGCACTGTATTATCCACTGCCTATGAGCCCATTTACATTAGGGCAGGGCGATACGACAAAAATTAAATAAGTCCTCTCATATCCTGATAATGGTTTATATCATGATTTATTCAATCAGTTAATTTTATATTTATATTAATAACAGATTTCTTTATCTTTGCCATGACGACAGTAAATAATATTTGACTATATATTTTTCAAGACACTTCTATACAGCTTAAAGTGACATTTAAAGGCTTAACTTGGTTAATTAGGTTAACTAGGCAGGTTAAGGTAATTAGGCAGGTTATTGTATAACGATGGTTTGTTCTGTAGACTATCGAAAACAATATATAGCTTAATAATATTGACCTTAAATTGGTTTAAAAAAAATTAGCTGTTTTTACTCCAGCCAAAATGAAACAAATAAGACTTTCTCCAGAAGAAAAAATATTATCAGACATACTGTGAAAATTTCCTTGCTCTGTTAAACATCATTTGGGAAATAATTAAAAAGGAAAATTTCAAAGGGGTTTTAATAATTCTGTATTCAACTGTAGTTGTATGTATAAACTTTTTAATAAATATAATGTTGTATAACAATGTTATAAGCCCAAAAAGATTCATAACCTTGGCAAATGCTGGCTTAAAATTACTTTTTTTCAATAAGAAGTTTTTCTTTGACAAGAAATGACACAGGCTTACCCAAAAATGTAATTAAAAAATGTAAATTATAATCAAAATAAAAATTATCAATTTTTATTTACCTTCGGGGTAACTTTAATACTAAATTTAGAGTCATCCTAAAGGTTATTAGACCAAAAACAAAACTGTATATAAATAACAACTTATTTTTTGTTTTCGGTCTCAAAAACCCTGTTGTCATGTAAACAAAGAGGCATATGAATAGATTCCGGTTTGGCTGAAAATGTACTGTGAATGTGCTACTTTATTAACCTTTTTTTTTTTTTTATTGAATGTTAGTACATTTGAAAAGCCCAAAGTATACCATTTTACATCATTAAAAAAAGAATAGAGCGTCTGTGCTTTTTCCCCTCTTCAAAAAACTGAGCAATAAAATATGTTTGCAACATCACTGTACTGCTCACGCTATGCTAGATGTACATAAACCTTGAAGCTAAAACTGAAGTCCTTAAATAAACAGCAACTTTGTTTGACAATCCCTAATAAAGACTAACTTCAAAAGATTTGACGGATGTTCTTTACTTAATCTATTAGGGCTGCGCAATGCTGAAAAAAAAGTGATATATGATATTGTTGAGCATTGTGTAAACAATTTTCTTATGATATGACCCTAGAAAAAAATAATGCAAATATTTTTATTAACTATGCCAAGGTGCAAACAATAAGTCTTTAAATAGTATTTGACCCACATTATGCCAATTTGGCGACAATTACTTTAAATCCAAAGGGGTGGAGCTACAAACGCCTCATATCATCATTAATGGGAGGGACTTTCCCCTTCCTATGCATACAAAGGGAGAATAGTGTTTTAATGAAGTTTGATTCTAAAAAATAAAATTAATTAATTTTTACCATTAGACGTTAGTTCACCTTTAAAATATAGAAAATTCTAATTTATTCAAAAATAAAACAAACAAACAAATATAATTTTAATTGAATATTCAGAGAATGATTTAGTCATTAAAAAAAGGTGACTTCAGGACATATTCTGTCCAATGCAAAGATTAAAAGACCAACACATCTGACACCAGCATGACCCGACCCAAGCAACTAATTAATCCTTATAAAAGAGGCTATCTCAGGCCACTCATTAAGTGCGAAATTCCAGATTCCCATTGGGGGAAGAAAAAAACCCAGAAAAAAAACAATGGCGCAAACTAGCATCTGAACAACTTCCAGCTTGGCTCAGCAACTTGCCCAAAAGTTTAATCAAGTCTGTCTAAGTGTAAACGCTGCAAATGAATACCGCTCGCCTCAGAGCGCTTTCGGTTAAACAGTTTGCAAACACTTGCTCTTGGGGTGCGATGTAGCGTGTCAGAACAGGCCGGCAATTACCAAAATGAAAGTTCACCGCGAGGGTCATGCCTATTTGAAGCCGCCATCGAGGCACGGCCGTTTCTCCGGCTGACATTTTCACCCGCTCGCATTCTCCAACAAAGGCCTCTCAATGCCCCTCTTGCCCCAATTGTGCTCTGACGCTTAATCCTTGCTTCGTTCGTGACCCGGTGTCAAAAATGTGTGAGAAGAGCACGCAAAGTTCATTAGGAGCCATGCAGCCTCGGCCCCTGTAAAGAGCGCTCAATGGATATTTGGAACGAGATTTTATGCACTCTTTGCCACCTACACAGCAAATTCATCTGAGTTAAATTCTCGGTGTTGAAGCATTTCAGAGTAAAGTGTTGACGTTAAAGAGTTAGATTTTGATAAATGAATATAATAAGAGTTAGAATTGATTTTATTCAGTGCGAAATCAAGGAGTTATCTTTTCTACACTTGGTGGTGTTATTTCCAACATCCGGGAATTCATGCAGCCCCAGTCACTGAAGAATTTTCCAGACGCCATTTTCCATCTGAGGTTTAGAACAGCAACTGGTGAGTCAAACTACCTAAATGTTGGTATTTTTCTGACTTTCTCTAAGGAAATACAGTTGTAAACATATTGTTAAGTTAATAACTTTAGAATGGAGTGACAATTTTAATCTTCTGCGGTTCATTCATGGTCGTTTGTGTATCTAGCTTAACTGCATTACTATTCACTTCTTTTCAAGAATGTTTTATATATGCTCACGCATACATAGTGCATAAAAACATCAAATGTACATGTTCAACACATTTCTGTCACGCTTAATGCCATTTTGTGCGTTGTTACCCATCTGTAAAATAAAATCGACACTTCTCCTTTAATTCGAAGCAAACTAGCGAGGGAATCACCGGAGCAGCCTAGCCTACTCTGCCCGGATGCTAACGGCAACACAGGACGGTTTCCATAAGCTCTGGAGAGTTTCTAAAACATATATGGTGAGTAAATGAATATATGCTTACTTGTAAAAGGCTTCCTGACTAAAACATATGATTGTTTGTTATTCGTGTACGTTAATTTGGTTGTTTTAAACACCGCGGCCCTTTTAAACTGGTTCATTCGTGGCCGTCCATATACCGTTAGTTGATAGACTCGCGTGATAACGTAACGTTACGCTTGAATTATATTAAGCGTTGACAACCATTAAAGTCGGAATGTTAACATTAAAAAAATTAAAATGACCGCGTTTGCACTTTCTCAGACTTTTAAGGTTACAGAAGTCTCCTGGAAGTTGTGGGACTAACATTAACGTTATCCCGCAAATGCACAGAGACTCCCAGATGCCCAAGTAGATGCCCGCAAATGAATGATAATCTCCGGGAAATCGCGCGTCTCCCGCCCGGTCATTAAACACTTTACACACCCCTCTCCACCGCATCCCTCCCTGCTCTTCAGGTACGTCGCGCGCAAGTCACCCCCACCGCTCTTCAGGTACGTCGCGCGCAAGTCACCCCCACCGCTCTTCAGGTACGTCGCGCGCAAGTCACCCCCACCGCTCTTCAGGTACGTCGCGCGCAAGTCACCCCCACCGCTCTTTAGGTACGTCGCGCGCAACTCATCCCATTGTTCTTTAGGTACTCATTTCTCCCGCTACCTCCCGCAAATCAACTCTGTATCCCCCGAAAATTACTTTTCCCAACTCGGGATGTCTGACGTTAGTAAGTTAGGCTATTTCTGTAGTCAGGAACATCTTAGTCAAGCTTTTTCTCCGGCATGATATTGTGCTTAAAACTATAGGCTAAACTTAGCATGTACTGTGCACAACATTTCCTTTTTATTAAAGACAATTTAGTGCATTGTAAACAGCCACCTGTCTGTAAAATTAATCAACTGATTCATATTTGAGCAGCCTAATGATGATACAGGTTTGATTTGTAGATTTATTATCAATAATCAACATCTGAATCAAAATATATCTGAAAAAGTGTGAGGCATACTTTGTGATGTTCATCTCTCTTTTTTAATCTGAAGGTTATGCATATGTGTTAGATACTAATGTGTTGTTGTTTTTTAACAGCCACAGTTCTCTATACAATAACACAAGACCCTGTGACAGTGGCTGATTAGAGACGGATGGTGTATTTCCAGAGTTGGTGAAATGACCAAGTACACCTTCTTGGTCATATGTGGTGATAATAATGAAGGTATGTTTGATAAAGTTCTGTATTTGTTTCACAATAAGCTAAGAGGGTATTAGAGCATTAAAGAATAATGAATGACATGAAGGTGATAAGTTTTGTATTGTGGGTGAACTGTTACTTAAATAATGTTTTGCTCTTTACTTTGCACTTTTCCTCTTCTGCTTATCCTAATATTTTAGATTATATTTGGACCTGAATCATCTGCTAGACTCCAGTAAAGGTGGCCTCAATACTGGACCTGAAAGGGCCTAACAAGTTGAATCTGGTAAAGAAACACACACACACGCACGCACGCACGCACGCACGCACGCACACGCTTACAGAAAACTGTTGTTTATGAAGTTTATGAATATTTTTTACACTGTGGCCAATATTTTGGGGAAGTCAGCATCACTAAATGATATAAAAGATTTTAAGCTCCTCTAAATTTTGCTCCAAGTGTTGTGTTAAATTCAGGATTCTGGACAGACAGCTGCCTGTTTTTCCAGTTCTAGTCATAGTGGTTAACCTAATTGTTTTTGGAGATCCAACAGTGATATATGTGTTTTTTCTACTTTTCCATATCCTGTCACCTCAACCAGCTGGGAGAGTCAAGTTGTGGATCATCATGAAGATTTTCAAAAGGTGAGTTTAGATTTCTTGAATGTTTTATTTACTTTAAATGTTCTTTTAAATATATCATAG